CATGTGCCACGGTAGGAATTGATAGTTTAGGTTTATATTAATTTGATTCCAGCTTTCCTTAATTTGAATTTCTTTATGATTGGATTTTGAATTGTAAATATCAGCATGATATTATAGTTATGGCCGATAATCTGTATTATACAAAATACAGGGATTATTGGTGGGTGAATTTCTCGTTTCCAATTAGAGATGACCAACATAGTCCATTTGATTGGGCCCTTTGTTCCTACTTACAAATGTCCAGTGGAGCAATTGGATCAAATACAAACCTCATGAGGCAAAGTAAGTTTATTCCCATTTAGAATAAGCATTGGATGAATAATCTATGAAATGTTCAAAATTTTGTTCTTTTTGAAATAATGCTTGCAACTTATTCAAAGCTTGCCGTTTCTTAAATATAAGTGTTCCAGTTGCACTGTTTTTGTTCATAATGAGGGTCGGATATCATTCTATAACATCATTACAAAAGAACTATGCAGATTGAATGAGAAATTTTTCTCGCACCTGAAAGGTGAACTGGGAAAACTAAGGTTTGCCATGTCAAAGACTCAGGTTTGTCTTTATAATTTTTTGATTTGGTTTCTACGAGATGAATGAGAAGAAGCAAACATCTACAGTGACTTTGTTTGTAGGAAATGGTAGACAGATTGATAGAACTGGAAGCACTCCAAAAGGCTCTGCAGGAAGGAACGGGTTTTGTCAAACACCCTAAAATTTTCGGCCAAAACATTTCTATTACAATTTTTACTCTATAAGACCTCAACCTATCTATGTCGTTCTCTGCAGAAGCCTATGATAAACTGCAAGATGAACTCGTAAACGCGAGGAAGAACTTAATGAAAATTTTGACATCAGATAATGTCAAGATACTGTATGATACTTTTCTTAGCTCGTTACAGCATAGTATTATGTTTCCTGATTTTCATTTGGTCACTTGGCGCTGGTTTGTATGCAATGCAGCTATTGGAAATGGTTTAGCAGAATGAGTTGAATAGATCCTTGTTGACACTTCTTGATGAAAATATTGTAAATGCATATCATGTTAACCAGGTGAGAGGGGTCAAATATTTTTCTATCTGATCTAGATGAATTTTCTAGAGTTGTTCTCTTTATTTATATTATTAATTGATTTTGTATTACGAATTCTTTCTAAAAAAATAAAGAATAATATATCTTTTGAAGTTTAAAGTGAAGTTAGAGAGAGGGGTTAACAGATGCCGCCTGTTACATAATTTGGTAAAAAAAAAAAAAAATCAAATTCCTGATACTACAGTCAATGGATCAATAGCAAACATATTGATAAGTTGATGTCCACTGGACGCATTCTCTTTATATTTCTAACTATTAAATTGGAGGACTGTAGATTTTAACTACTTTTCTAGATCCTAGGTAAGCAACCTGGCCCAGTGCCTGTAAAAGAAGGGGTAAGGAGGAAGGTATCGAGCCCTTTCTTTTAGGCATAGGATTCTCTCAAAACTTTGGGTTGGAGCGGAAGGGAAAATAGGATATATAACGTATCATTTTATCATTGTAATATAAATGTTTATATTTTTCTTAGTCCTTTCAAACAATCCTTCCTCCAACTTATCGAAAATTAGAAGGATTGAGACTGCATGCATTGAAGGATCAAGTGACCCCCTTGAATTCATCGGCAACTCACCGTCCTATAAACTAGGCATTAAAGTCTTTTAACTTCATCTAATCCTTACTAAATAGGATTCCTCCATAAGCTTAATAATAGGTGCTTTTCCCTGTCCATTTGTACACCATATGTAAACATCTCTTTATAAACCTGACAAATTCTTTTACAGCCTTTGAGCAGACAAGCTTTTGTTTTTGCTCCCAGCTTCCTGGTTTTAAGAACAAATTCATAGCTCATAGAATATCACAGAATTCATAGTTCTGCTATTCTTAATAGCAAATTGAACCTTGTACTAGAATTTTTCTTTTTGCATTTAGAATTCTTGATTTAATTTTTGAAATTGATTGCTCCTGGAAGTATAAAGCAGATGGCCTATATACAATCAATTATACACATCCATTGCCAATTTGATTGAAGAATTTGTTATAACCATACTGAAGGAATATGTATGGTTCACTAAAGGCGTATATAAAGCATGACTTTTCTATTTTCAGACAATAATGGATTTTTAATTTCTTGAGTTCATATGTGTATTATCTTATGGTTTTATGTAGTTTGATTGGCTACTCTAAGTATAAGTTCGTAAATGGAAGAGATGAGATGGGGATTGTTGCGTCCAATCTTTAAAATGCATGTAACTAAATGATTTCATATATAGTCATGATCTACACAAGACTCAATATTTTTTAACATGTCAATTACCTTCCAATGTATGCAATATAGAGAAAGAGTTAGACGCAAAACGTGCTACTCGAAAAGTAGAATATGCAGTTCGAGTGAAGATGAAGGAAATGATACAAAATAGGATGAAGGTAGATGAGTAACAATTCAATTATACGTTGTGAGAATTAACAGAATATCTATTTCATGAGGATGAAGAGTTATATTTTTTAGATGTGTAATAATAGATATAGACCATTTTTGCTATTGTTTTTAAATTTAGATGTAACCATACTTAGTGAATAATTTTTATTTGAGTTTTGGTGTAATATTTTGAATTCATGTCTTAATTAATTTATTGTCTTTTTGCATTTCTATGTTACTTTGAATAAGGTTATTAAAATTAATAAAATATCAATAATAAATAATTTAATTTCTTATTTAATTTGTTGAAACAAATAATATGCTTTCCCTACAAAAAATTATTTGTAGAGAAAAGCATGGCTTAGCCCACAAAATAATATGTACAATATTGTCACGATTTTTTAATTGTAGGGAAAAATATGTATATTTTATCCCATAAATATACTTTTCACACAAAAATATATTTGTATGGAAAAATAAAATTTAGCCCACAACATAATTTGTAGGGAAAGGTGATATCGTGTTGTGGGTCAAAAGTAACTTTAGTAGACGAATGATTTGTTGGGAGAAAATTTACACGACGTATTGTATTTGTCTCCAAAGAATTCGTGGGGAAAAACTTTTGCCCACAAATTTCAAAATTTTGTAGGCTAAGGTCTTTCCCCTCGACGTTTGCCCCACAAATGTGCCTACAAATTTTTTTTTCTACAAAGAATTTTCCTCACAAATAAGAACCTTTCCCTACAAATAAATTTTGTAGGGAAAACATAAAATTCTTGTAGTGAAATCCTTCTCATGTATTGAAGAACGAACTGATGGAGATAAAATCATATTTGACTTATGAAGAAAAATCGATAGAGATTCTTCAATGAGAGGTAAAACAACTTAGAAGCAAGAAAATTCCATTGGTCAAAGTACTATGGCGGAATCAATCAATATAGGAAGCCACTTAGGAAATAGAAGATGGAATGCCGATCAAAAATCTAGAACTTTTTAGGTAAGCGAATTTTAAGGACGGAATTTTTATGAATAGGGGAGGATGTAATACTCCGAACTTTACATTACACAGTTGGCCAATATGATTCATGCATTTCATACTATTTACAATGTCATTTGCATCAATTTTCCTAATTGCTGTATCTGAAAATGGTGCATTCGAATTATTAAGGTTTTAAAGATCTTTATATAGTGTTAGTATTCGACTCCATGACCTAGGTGGAGAATCTTACATTGAGATATGATAGAAAATTATGTTAATCTAGATATTGGATATTGATGTGTTAAAGAGGGTGATCTTTTCGGAATCATTATCGATAAAGTTTTTAGCTTTTAATTCGGTTAATCGTGGTTATCCTAAACCCTAACTAAGTCTTTAACATAGTTGAGACATGAGGCATGAAGTGACTTGGTCAAAATACAATACTTTAAGGTCCAGGTGACGTTATGAATGTTGAGGTGAAAATTGTTGAAGTTAGTTTCAATCGAGTAAGTAATTGAATGAACTGTTAAGGAATTAGTTCTATAAAATATGTTGGAATGTTAGGGCAAGTAAAATGGATTGTAAAAACATTAAAATAAGCCAAGGGTACTTGATTTGTACTTGCAAGGATTGGTACAAAATCATATTTTTACCACAGAAGACCACCTCATGCTTGGGATAGTTATCATTTTAACATTCAATTCCTTTATCCTTAAGGTATCCAGCATGTCTACTACCTCTTGTGTGTGTGTGTGTGTGTGTGTGTGTGTGTATATATATACACACACACACAAGTTATCCCCAATTGACCACCAATTGAAAGAGAAAGCAAAAAGGAACAAACAAAAGCTGAAACTGAATTTCTGGATAGGTAAGTTTAGCTCACGATTTTGAAGGTTGTTTTCATTGTCTTTGAGGGTATTATAATCTCTTGAGCCTCTGAAATTACTTGATATTATGTTGGGGTTGGTGTTTGGGACGTTATTATGGCAAAAAGAGTGACAAGTGTTGGAAATACATCGAGTGAAACAAGTAACGATAGAAATTTCATAGTTGCTTGATTCTACATATTCAATCCTTAATTTTGGATGATAGTAAGAGTATAACTTATATCTATCAATAGGATGTTTTAATATGCAAGAAAGAAGTATAGAAATTATTTTTAATAGCTAAGAATTTTGTTGGTGTCATACTAATACAATGGAAAATCGAAAAATTGTCACAATGAAAACTGCCTAATTTGGTATCGTGGAAAATGGACTGTTTTTTAGGCTGAAAATCTTTTAATTATCACAACTTAGAGGGAAAAAAAAAAAACAGATTATGTCCTTTACACACTTCATATAGTTCTACCTTCACATGATACTGAATTGCTTCTAAAGCTTGAGAAAATTGACTTGAATGAGTGTTAGGACGTTAATGATCCAATTAAGTGATGTTTATGCTCATAAAACCGGAAAATTACGGGAATTATGCCGTTGGATACTTGTAGTGTTAATCTAGAATATGTTTGCATCTAAGCTCTTTGTGTATAATTGTGTGTGGGTATGCATTGTACCTTTTTTTTTCCTTGATCTACATGAGGATTTTTCTAATAAGGTTCTAACGAGACATATTCTTTATGTGATGAATGTCCATAACATAGAAGATATTTATTCTCAAAATAATTCTCCTATATGTATAGACTTTCAAAGAGAACAACAAGAGCTATTTTTCAAATCATCATGTTACGACAGTCATCAATGGTTGATTAATATCTCATATGAGGATGATGTTATTTAAAAACTATACAAGACAATATGAGACATACTTCTCCATAAATTGCAATATTGAAGACATTGACATACGAGACAAGGATAAATTGATACAAAAATTGAAATCAGCAGGAGAAGTAGTACTCTTTTTCCTTTGATAAATTTTTGTCCCACTGGATTTTCTTGACAAGGATTTAACAAGGCAGTTTTTACTACTCCAAATTATCTGTACTCAATTTCAGTTATTAGCATTTTTATCCTACCAAAGCTTTTGCCAAATAAAATTTTAATGAGGTAGTTATTGTTGTAATATAATCCCAACACGAGTAGGGATAATATCACAAATTACTAAAATTAAAACCTCAACCACAACATGGATGTATGTACAAAGCTTTAGAAAATAAAACTTGATGATTGGATCACCACTAAAAAAAATCGTTTACGATACAAATTGAATCAACATATCATATTCACCTAACTGCAATTTTCACTTCTTAAACTCACAAATTTGGATGTTTAAATAAGAGCAAGAAATAAAATATCTATTTGGGAGGGTGATATTTGAATTGCATCCTTCTTTTTCAGATGAGGGGGTATTTATAGATTTCTCTCCAAGCTTTGGGTAATTTGGTCATTTTGAGAGAATGATAGATGATAGCTTATTGTTGGTTGATTCATAATTGTTTTAGCCAAGCTTTACAGATCTATTGACACTCTAGATATACTAACAACCTACCAACCTGAATAGGATAGTAGTTCACTGTCTTATGCAGACCTCTTGGAATTTTGTTTCCTTCGCTCATTCTCTACACATCTCGCTAATGTTTTAGTATGGTTTGTAGAGTAGGTGCTTTGAGTTTACAAATAATCCCTGAAGTTCAGTGTATATATTCATATTGTTTTAGACTTGTTATGTCTTTTATTGCATAGTGAACCTTTAGTTTTTCATACAATCTTTCTTTCTTAGGGGTGGATGATGTGGACCATTTTGAGGGGACGTGCTATGATTGTTACAATTTTTTGGTGTAAGTTACACAACCTCTTTTTGTGTATTCCCAAGGTAATGCCCTGTAGGCATTTAGTGGCCATGATTGTGAGATGGTTTTGA